TTTCAACCCTGTCTCTCTAACCTCAACTCTCTCTGTTGAGGCAGGTCTGAGATGAAAGTCAGCCTGAGCCTCTTTAGCCTCCCCAGGGGTATTCATCTTCTAACGATTGTATAATCTCCAATAAATAACCTGTGTGTTTTTAGCTGTGCCCTTAACAAGTTTGTGTGTGTCATTTGAGCTAGTATGCTGCACAGTTCGCAGCAGAGTAGTTTGTTTACTTTACAACAATTGCTGGACTGAATCAAATCAGAGCCTTCTTTGGTACCCCGTTCATTTGATTAGCTGTGGCCTCGTATCTGTTTTTCATTTGCTTGGGTTTAATTACAGCAGAATAAATCCAGAATGAAATGATGCATAGCAATGGGGTGAAAATTAACTCTTTTAATCACAAAAAATACACTGGAAAAGCTTGCTGACCGCAAAGATTTAAACAACAAAAAAGACTAAGAAAGACCTAAAATCATCTTCTAACTGTATCAGTAATTCCTTAATGTGTTACATTATAGGAACCTGGCTGGATGACAATACGATTTGTTTGGACAGGAAACATCCCCAACAACCCCTCCCACAATCAAGCAGTAGAAGATGTGACAAATGAGTAGAAAAGTTCATTTGAATGCTCAAATTTTATGCAGGAAGGGAAAACTGTTCAGCCCTGCAAACACTGAAATCTGTTTTTAAACAAAAAGTTTAAACAGAAATGTGTATCATAATCTATTAATTTTTTTAAACAAAAACAACAATTAGTCCTGCTACTTCCGCTGCTTAATTAATATAGTACATTAATTATTAGGTATAATATTATCTGTAACATTTAATTAATTGATATTTGGATACAAAGACTCAAGCAAAACCATAGAATAAACAGCTGCTAAACTGATTAGCAGTTTTCAAGTATTGCTTGTATTTATTTACTTCAATTACACCCTTTTCTGCTCTTTATAGAATTTTACAAGTATAAGAAGTTTATATTACCTGGTTAAGTAGTTTGACCTTCTGCTCAAGTAGTCATCCTGCAGCCAGCTACTGAACAGACATGCCACTCCTAGCTTGCCAACTGTAATTTTTCTTATTAGATAAGCTACTTTCAGATCATCCTTGTGTTCAGTGATCAACACATGTTCTTTATGTCTCTTCAGCAACTGCAAGGTCCCAACGCGGAATGGGGGGTTGAAGTCAACCCCTCAATATTATGCCACTGATCCACCTCGGGCAGTTGTTGCAAACATGTCACCGCTATGAATTATAAGGGGTAATGTGAAATGGTGGAACAAATGTGACTTAGTTATACGATACAAAAGATAGATTCAGTAGCAGCAGGAGTCTTTGAAATACATTGATCTGCCGAATATGATGTGGGTAACATGTTGAGGATGATGTTCAACAACTGTGCTTGTATTTAAAGCACTTAATGCATTTGGACAGCCTGCATGAGGATCAGGACAAAGAACCCCTCCACCCAACGTCTTACATACTGCTCAGGTGAATGCTGTGAGTAGTAAACTACACTCATCTGGTTCTGTAACCCCATGTATATGCTCTGAAAGCACATGGGCCACATTATCTTAGCGGACAGATTTCTAATTTGTAAAAGAACAAAGTGGTCCAAAATGTGGTGTTCTGAACTATGATCTGATGATTTTCGTCAGCATAAAAGCGTTACGTAGTTGCTGAAAATTTGTCTGCTGCACAGTCAGTTGTTTATGATTTATTTTTGGTTGCTTTATGTCATTTCTGCCCCTTCCATCGGAGTGTCATAGCTATAATCAAGACTCAACAGACCAGTCAATGTTTTTCCAATCTGTTGTCTAATTATGGCAAGCCTTGCGAATTGGACCTTTTAGTCTCCATGTTAATCCTAGTAAATCTGCATTTTCTGAAATACTCAGAGCAACAATGTTCAAAGTCTTTCTCAAAGTCTTTCTCAAGGTTTAATCAGCTTCTTCATTTCTTGTGGGAAATAAACCCTCTGCATCTTTCTACCTACATATTATTTACAGATGAATTGTGTGGGAAATGGCTTTTCCCCATCATCGCTTAATTTTTAAAAAAGGTATTTATTACAGATCTCAATAATGATGGCTTGACTAGGTATTAGGGCAATTAGCAGCCAGGGAAGCCATCCAAGAAGCAAAACAGCATAGACAATGAAAAATGTGGTAAGACGATGTCTTGTGGACTCATGAAAAGCACTCAATTTCTGATGGCAATCCCTTTAGCAGAATACAGAGTAAGAACCTTTTATTCATTTTGGATTGGAATCGGATGTTTTTTCATCAACAGTTTTATTGCTTTTCTTCAAATTTTTCCTTTCCACTGACATCCATTCTTGCTATCACATATGACATTTAAAATGCCCCTTAAATTTTACAGAACTTTTACCGTACAGCAACTGAAAATACACATGGCAGGGATGTCATAGGGCAAATAAGTCTGTAAATACACAGAGGAATATCTACAGTACAGACCAAAAGTTTGGACACACCTTCTCATTCAAAGAGTTGTCCTTATTTTCATGACTATGAATATCGTAGCTTCACACTGAAGGCATCAAAACTATGAATCAACACATGTGGAATTATATACTGCACAAAAAATTGTGAAACAACTGAAAATATGTCTTATATTCTAGGTTCTTCAAAGTAGCCACCTTTTGCTTTGATTACTGCTACGCACACTCTTGGCATTCTGTTGATGAGCTTCAAGAGGTAGTCACCTGAAATGGTTTTCATTTCACAGATGCGCCCTGTCAGGTTTAATAAGTGGGATTTCAAGCCTTATAAATGGGGTTGGGACCATCAGTTGTGTTGTGCAGGAGGTGGATACAGTACACAGCTGATAGTCCTACTGAATAGACTGTTAGAATTTGTATTATGGCAAGAAAAAGCAGCTAAGTACAGAAAAACGAGTGGCCATCCATCATTACTTTAAGAAATGAAGGTCAGTCAGTCCGAACAATTGGGAAAACTTTGAAAGTGTCCCCAAGTGCAGTCACAAAACCATCAAGCGCTACAAAGAAACTGGCTCACATGAGGACCGCCCCAGGAAAGGAAGACCAAGAGTCACCTCTGCTGCGGACGATAAGTTCATCCAAGTCACCAGCCTCAGAAATCGCAGGTTAACAGCAGCTCAGATTAGAGAACAGGTCAATGCCACACAGAGTTCTAGCAGCAGACACATCTCTAGAACAACTGTTCAGAGGAGACTGTGTGAATCAGGCCTTCATGGTAAAATAGCTGCTAGGAAACCACTGCTGAGGACAGGCAACAAGCAGAAGAGACTTGTTTGGGCTAAAGAACACAAGGAATGGACATTAGACCAGTGGAAATCTGTGCTTTGGTCTGATGAGTCCAAGTTTGGTTCCAACCACCGTGTCTTTGTGCGGCGCAGAAGAGGTGAACGGATGGACTCTACATGCCTGGTTCCCACCGTGAAGCATGGAGGAGGAGGTGTGATGGAGTGGGGCTGCTTTGCTGGTGACACTGTTGGGGATTTATTCAAAATTGAAGGCATACTGAACCTGCATGGCTACCACAGCATCTTGCAGCGGCATGCTATTCCATCCGGTTTGCGTTTAGTTGGACCATCATTTATTTTTCAACAGGACAATGACCCCAAACACACCTCCAGGCTGTGTAAGGGCTATTTGACCAAGAAGGAGAGTGATGGGGTGCTGCGCCAGATGACCTGGCCTCCACAGTCACCGGACCTGAACCCAATCGAGATGGTTTGGGGTGAGCTGGACCGTAGAGTGAAGGCAAAAGGGCCAACAAGTGTTAAGCATCTCTGGGAACTCCTTCAAGACTATTGGAAAACCATTTCAGGTGACTACCTGTTGAAGCTCATCAACAGAATGCCAAGAGTGTGCGGAGCAGTAATCAAAGCAAAAGGTGGTTACTTTGAAGAACCTAGAATATAATCATATTTTCAGTTGTTTCACACTTTTTTGTTCAGTATAGAGTTCCACATGTGTTAATTCATAGTTTTGATGCCTACAGTGTGAAGCTACAATATTCATAGTCATGAAAACAAGGACAACTCTTTGAATGAGAAGGTGTGTCCAAACTTTTGGTCTGTACTGTATATAAATTAGGTTTTTAAACGTGCATTAGATCACTCACTGGATCCAGCTTACCGAAAAATGATGGCACAGTCAGTTTGATCACTGGCCTTTCTACCTTCCTGGATCAGCGTGAGTCTGCACTACCATAAACACAATTTAACACACATGCAAACATAATCCATTCTAGTCGGACACAGGTCCTGAAGTTAATCAGTGCACTCGTAAGGCGATTAAACCTTCAAAAGGCAACTACTCTATCCCTTTACAGACCCGGGCTCAACCTGCCAAATGTGCACAAGATCTCAAACAGATGTTACACAGTTTGACAACATTTAAGCCCTGCTTGTTTCTCTATGCATGCACAATGCTACCAAAAAGCAATAAGTTTAAGCCAGTGACAAAAGACAAGATGTCACTATCACCATTCAACACGTCTAAGAAAACATTTTCATACTATTCACGATTCAGTGAATGTTTATTTAACTAAATGCCACTTCATTCAAGTTAAACCCTGCATAATGTTTTAACAGCATAAAGTATAAACTGTAGTCACGAAATATTATGCAGGTTAATTATCTGAGTTTTCACCGGCAATAAAACATCATTGAACTGGGTTTGGTAATATAAAGGAGAGAAGCCACAAACTTTATGGATTTCCCCTCCATCAACTTCCTGTAGTCTCTAATCTAAACCTCCAACAATTCTGGAAAACAACACACCAGAAAAGATAGAAAAAAAACTATTTAAATTCAGAGTCTACTGTCTGTCAGAGTCATAAAAAAGTGAATCTAATATATATTAGTGTTTTGAAAGAAATGTAGCAACCAGCTTAATAAATGAAGGCATTTTTATGATATATTACTACAGACCAGTTCATAAACTTGCTTTAAAATGCTCTAAGACAGTTGTATTTCTTTAGCCTGCTCTATCATTATGGGGCTGCGTGGCGTGGTGTAGTTGGTAGCACTTTTGCCTTGCAACAAGAAGGTCCTGGGTTTAAATCCCAGTATGGGGTCTTTCTGCATGTAGTTTGCATGTTCTCCCGTGCAGACAAGAGTTCTCTCTGGGTACTCTGGCTTCCTTCAACAGTACAAACACAGTCATGTTGGGTCAATGTATAACCCTTAGGTGTAAGTGTGGTTGTTTGTCTCTTGGGTTTCTGTTGCCCTGTAATGGATATGCAGCCTGTCCAGGGTGTACCCTGCCTCTCTCCCAATGACTGCTGGAGATAGACACCAGCACCCCAACTTAGATAAGTTTGGATTTTAGAGATAACTTAAGAAAAGCATTAGTTCTTCAGAGTAAAGCTTCTTTATATTTTCTTCTCTTCACTTATCTTTTTAGACGTTCCTAGTGTAGCAACGATCAACTGTTCTGCATAGCAGATAATTTGTGTTTACAATTCAAATACTTAATACAAATATGTGTCTTTATCCCACTAAAGGGTGCCAGCCCAAGTACTATCAACAGTGTTAGTAAGGTTTGATAGACAAAAGTTTCACTACTCTTTCCAGTTTAATAACGTGTCATTACCTCCATAATGGTGATAATAATCTCACAATTCTTCTAAATACCAATAATGTTCTGAACATTAGCCACTGAGTGTAAAAATTTAGCCACTTCAATCTCATTCCAACTGCCCTGGCTGTCTTTTTTGATGTGAGTGTTGTAAAGGAGGAATGTGCTGCAGGCTTTCTGTCTCTCTACTATGATTTGGAGGCAGTAGGATTGTAAATGCAGGGATGGTGGGGTGGTAGGCCTGTCAGTCAAATAGGACCAACTGCTTTTACCTTTAGCTGGCTTAAACTGCAAGCACCCCTAAAAACCTCTTCTAATAGAGCTTACTGATTGGAAAAAGATCTAAAGAGGGACAGGGCTGTGTATGTTTCTGCAAAGCCTTCCGTTGTGTTTGAAAGGCCCACAGGAAGTCGAAGCTCACTGAACAAAGTAGCCACCAAGGCTCACTTATGCAGAACTTAACTTAAGCTGTAAATAAATATATCTGACTTGCTAGTTTAATGTAAAAATAAACCCACAATTAAGGTGATTTCCAAGACTGGAGACAGACCCAAAGCTCAGACAACAGCTGGCCCTCGTCTACTTGCTAAATATCAATTTACTCCAAAGTCACCCAGCTGCATCACAGTGGTTTATCAGAGCAAGCTGAGCTCTTACATGAATCAAATGATGCATTCATGTACCAACAAATCATTTTGAGACATTGTTTCACAAGCTTTTTCAAAAAATATGACTTCAGTTAACATTAAGACTTTCAAATACCACCATACTGACCAGCATTTTGAAATGACAATACAGTAGGAACTGTTTTTGTTGTTTCCATAAAACCAAAGAAGTGTTTTGCTGGGTACAATTTCCATGTTTCAATTTGAAATACAAAAGGAAGATCCCCTGAAGTCGCAATTTAAAGTGGTGAAGTCAAAGATTTTTCATAAGCCTGAGCTCAAAATCTATATGACTAAAATCTGTTTAAAACTTAGGGATAGCTGCTGTAATGTATTTGCATTTCTAACTGTTTGTATCTCATTAACTCTTTTACACACATATGACTGTACAACCTTTGGGCTAGGGTTGAACATCTGTCTTCAGTGTTTGAGTTTATAAATGCAAAGAATAATACAGTGATTACCTTGTATCGATCAAAACTGAGCACAGTAATTAGCATTACACTAGTTTCCCAATTTGCAACTAGAACATGGTTAAGTTGTGTTTGCTTATATTCACAGATCAAAGTTCTAACTTTAGAGGCAAAGTGGGTAGAGATGCACCAAACACAAATTACTGGTGACCACAATCCAACAATTTTGGTCACCAATGGGTGACCAAAACCAGCCAGCTTGATTGGCCCTCACTGGCGACTGGCCAGCTGGAAACCCAAAAATGTATTTGTTATGTTGTTCATAAACCTGCAATAGAGAAAAAGACAGTAGGCAGGGAGAGACTGGGACTTGCTCCTGGGATTTAAAGTGGACCAAACAGCACTGGTTTCTGTGATCCACCTAGTATTGCATGCTCACTGATGAGAAAATGTAGTATAGGAAATCAATTCAAAATTCCAATCTAAGCAAACGAGGTGACCAAGTCAAGTCAACTCAATTTATTTATATAGCGCTTTTCAGCAACATGGCACTCAAAGCGCTGTACATGAGGAAAAACATTACAATGATAAAGAAAATCAAACACAGAAAAACAAATCAAATGACATTAATAATCCTTGGGAGTTTACTGGTAAGAGCTGGTTCTAATCCAATCTTTCTAATAAAGGTAATTAGCTCATTAAGTCATCTGTGGTAAGGAATTCATCCTGTGCTAGAAGAAAAATTATAATATTAATCCTTGAGGTTGCTGGTATGAGGCAGTAAATAGTAACAGTCATGGGCACTCACTGAAGTCTAAGTAGAGAAGCTGGGTCACTGGTATAAAACATTGTAGTCCAAAACTTTTAAATACTAATAATATTTGGCTTTCACTGGTATGAACTTGTTGTAATAAAATCCTTCTAAGAAATCTAAAAATCTCTGGTCATTGGTGTAAAAACAGCTTTAGTCAAATTTTCAAATACTAATAATATTTGGCTTTTGCTAGTAAAGCTTCTGAGAAATCTGAAAAACTATGAAAAATAATGAAATCACACATTTAGGTAAAGTAAGATAGGAGAAAAAAAATCATATTGCAGGCTCTATTCTTAGCAGAATACAGTCTGAAGAAGTACAAAAAAAACCTCAGCCGGAGTAAGCAACACACACATAAGTAAAGATTTAGCAAGGGTACGGTGGAATCTTGAGGGTGTGAATGTATAAGTCTGTGTGTGTTTGCAAGAATTAGACTGTCAACACTGATAGAAGCGCCATTGTCCTTGAGAAGAGAGGTTGAAGTTTTATCAATTGGCCACATAGTCCTTTCAGCACACAGCTGGTAGGGGAGTGCTGGGGAAGAGCGTCGTGTTTATATAACATCCAGGAGATATTTTGTCGATAGCCAGTTAGCAGAAGTTGCCAAGGCCACACTGGGGCACCAGATTTAGAAAAACAATAAAGGTTGTGGTTCAGGCAGTTGTGAATTTCCAACCACCTTAAGAGTTTTACTGGTATGTCTCAATTGCGAATCCAAATAGCCAAATTTCTGGTACTTTCCGCAGATCTCAACTGTACAACTTCTTCAAGATTATATCCTTTAACCTCTGAGTCCAACTGCTGCCAGGCTGCGATTCTGTCCAAGAATCATGTCCAGCTTGCGATTCTGCTCTCTTAACATTTCAGGCTGAGTGTTGATTGCTCTACAGACTCCATCCAACATCGCAGGCAGCTTTGGAATGCTTTGAACAGCTGCCCACGTTTTGCGAATCACTCGATAAGCCAGGTAACCACCAACTCCAAAAAGCAGAAATCCTGTAGTCAAAAGTCCAAATACGTACACATCTTCTACATCCTCGACCGACTTCGTAGTCAGGCACAAAATCTTCCACTGCTGCCAAGAATCCATTGTGTATCCGGAGAAGAACGTCCCGTCTAGACAAGATGGTTCTCCTTTACACTGTCTTCCCGTCGAAAAAATTAGATCAATTACGTTGAGAGACCAGCTGACCAATTCCATAATTTACAAGTTTGGAGGATATGCCAAGCGAGGCTCTGAGAAAAATACAGACAAATGCAGAAGCAGGGATCAGCAGGAAGGGAGGGAGAGAGAGAAGATGCGTGTGACCAGTGCTTATACATAGTAGATGTTTTCTCCATTGCACCTAACTTTTAGTAGTTTTTTGGGGGGTTTCATTAGCTCTATGTCACCACAGGTAATTAACTTTCAATTTAGCATGTATTTGTTAATGGTCAGAGAACCTCTAAAGAAAGTCCAAGAAACATCATTAGTTGTTATTTTACAGTTTCAGAATCCTGGGCTAGAATACAACAACGACAATAAAGAGCTTTGATGCCTTCTTTCAAATACCAATATTTTATTCTTTCACATCAAAGTTCAGATTTGTTTTCTTCTTTTTACTAGAGCAAAATACCACCTATGATAATGTCCACGCCCTAAATGAAATATGTTTTTGCATGAGCCTGTGTGTGATGTTTTTTCATCTCTTTCTATCTTTTAATTGCTTTAATTACAGACTTACTGCCAGCTTTTCACTCAGTGCTCAGGAAAAAAACAAACTCTTAAGGACATTGAAAAGAAATAGCAAGTGCCTACGCAGACTGCCTCTCTTTCTGTCTCATATCACACACCTATGGCAGTTCCAGTCAGCCAACAGGCTCTTTGATTCTCTGCCTGCAGTGATCAGTCTTTCATCATCTCCTCTCCCTGATCCCTTGTTCCCCTCTTTAGCTCAGCTGGTGCAGAACGTCTCCCTCCCTGTCTCTTCGTCTGTCTCTGTTTGTTTAGCATTGACTGTAGGTGGGAAGCCTAATCTGGAACTTGGAATTAACCTGAATTCATAATTCTTTCTTTCTATCCAACGCCTACAGTAGAGCAGTTGGAGGAAAAATGCAGATCTTTCAGGCATATAAATTATGTTTTTGATGATATATCCTTTATGATGTTTCCTTAAACATGTTAACATGTTAAAATGTTTGTATAAAATCAACCAACTTGGAATTTGCGTTGTTTGCTTCTGTTTGTTTGCACTGGACAGATTCATCATGATAGATCGCAGGTGTGCGTTTTCACACATCCTGTAACACACCTGAAGGTTTTTCAATTGCTTGTCATTAGGGGTATAATTTAAGTCCTTCAAGCGGTTATGATGGATGTACATGCAAAGGAAGGAGAATCTTCAAAGCTAAACTCCAAGTCAATCAATTAAAAAGTAAAGACTTAAGAGTTAAAGATGAAAACCATTAGAAGCATCCATAGCCGCCACTGTATTGTTTAAGATGCCACTACTAGGTGCTTTACTGCAGATGTGAAATGTAATATTCTGAATCCTGATTCTACATCTGTGCCAATCCCTTATCTGGGGGACACAACAACTGTATCCCTCAATTGCTTCAAACCAAGTA